AAAAATCAAATCAGGTACATCACAGCTAGTGTAAAAGGTGCTGGAAAAAATTGTTTCGCTCTTAACATGCAAATTATTATGGTAATAACGGAAAATAGTGATGGATAGTAGGCACAATCCCCACTAACAGCGACGACGAGGATCCTGACGACTGTCTGGCTGACCATATATACATTCATGGGCAGCCAAGGTTAGGGGGCGAAGTCTCCTATATATCATCAGTGTCACCATAGCGTAGTTGCCCGGGCTCTGTCCTCCCTGAAAGATGGTTCAGGGGGCCCCAGTTCCTATGAATCTGAATTACAATAGCTAAATTACTGGAAAAATTCCTTTGACCATTCGCTTGTACTCCTTAATTTCTCTGATATCATAATTATGCTGAAAAATCTTTACGAATCTGGTCATGTATCAGCTCGAACACTATTCCTGTTCCTTTATCGTTTTCCAGGATCATCCACCACTCTTGCACCGGACGTGGTCAGGAGACGTCGGTGCCCATTGATGGCTACAATAATCATCAAAGTTTCTGTATTCCAGTGGCTAAAATTGCATTCGCCCGTTGCTGACATCAGAACTCTCCCATTTATAATGTGGTAAGACTAATTGTAGATTTGTTAGTATTAAAGCCGATGAAAAGGAAAGTAGGCATCACTTACACTGTTTGTTTTTTCACTACCGCTGAAGTTTTGCTCTAATGTGCCTATTCCCACTAGTACGACAATTAACGTTATTCATTGGCCAATATTCCGCTGGCTCTTTTTGTTCAAATAATAAACTAACTGATGATAATATCTATAATTCAAAACAAATCAAATATATTATGAAACGGTGTGAAAAGACAGTGGCATGTTACATACAATGATGTTCCAATATTGTTTATTTTTTACATATACTTCCCTCCCCCCGTGTTATTTCAAAATGATTTGGTTTTTAAATTCATGGTTAGGTAACTTCCAGTCAGGGTTTTCAATCATTAATACTGTTGGGTGATTTCAGTGAAATCCAGGGTACGCTGTTGTAACTTTATTATGAATGTATATTTCATATGCTAAATACCTCTCAGTTCATAACTATAAGAGATAAGGAAATGCAAAGAATATTATGATGTAAATAAACAAATAATAAATACAATAAATCCCATATATTAAGTAAATCTACTTACACGTTGACCCATCAAATAACATCCTTTGCGGCAAAAACTGAAGCCAATACACATATATAATTCTTCTCAACTACATAGAGGAATGTATAGTAATATACTAGAAAATACACATCGAAATAAAAAATCATATCTATCATATTCATAACAATATAATATTAATTAGGAAACAGATAATTGTATCTAACTCAGACATAGTGTAGCAGAGCCAAGAACCAGTGAGTTTCACTGGAAACGCTTGGGGGATATTTGTGCCACTTTACTGCATCTTGAATACATCTTGCTTTCTTCTCTTTACATACATTTCATTACCATTCATTTTATCCCATTTACCCATTTCTTTCCTATTTGTTTCCGTTAAACTGAAAATCAACAAATCTTTAACTAATATATACTTTACATATAATCCTTATTTCATATGAAATTTATTACTAATTCTATTATTCTCACTGAATTAAATATTTATATCATAATACATCATTGACTTTTGCTAAAAGTATATCTCAAAATTACATAGATATAGCTTTATATATTACCTCAGACACCTCACTAGGGTTCTTTGAGTAGCAAAGTGGCTTCTAGTGTTTACAGAAAGTTAGTTATGCAAATTTCCCATAGATGTCGTACTCTATAGAAAATGATATGAAGGTGTGCTCATCTATTTCATACTTATCTTATGTTTGTAATATCACAATGAATAGGAACTGATTGTTCACAGCTGAATACATTTTTTTGTTTTGTTTGTGTCTACAGTAATGCACATAATGAAACATGAAACATACCCATATTTAAATCCAAAATTTCAAAATCTTGAAATCACACGCAAAAAAATCTTTCTGTTGAACCTCATGCAAGGAAGCAAATCGTCAACAAAGAGGGATGTATTGTAAGTAAACATATAAATAACTCCATAATATATTTGAAATAAACCGTAATACAACAATAACTAGAAAAGCACTCAGAGAGTGCAGACCTCCGCCAAGGTGCGTATATAATATATATACTTTGGCTGCGTCCAGACGGTAATTCGGAGTGTCACCAAAATTTAATCAGTTCTAAGTTAGTCCCTTTCTGACTTATCCCCAAAATCTCGATGAAATCCGGCCAGCACTTTTTGAGCTACGCTGCTAACAAACAAATCAACGCCGTCAAAAACATAACCTCCTTGGCGGAGGTAATTATAAACATACGATTCTTATCGTCTCTTAAGACAAATACCTTCCTTCCCAGTCTTCTGATGTTTGACCGTTAAGGTATGACGTCGTTAGATGATAGATGCCAGTAATGACAGGATAATTGTTTATATGAAATAGATTACAGATATACACAATATATTGTTAAAGTTTTTTGCCTTGAATACAATCCATCACATATAAACAAAATTTCTTTGAATTGTGACCCATACAGTCAATAGCACAACAAAAATATAAAACAGAGGCAAAATTTATAAATAGCTTATGTAGTGAAACATTTTGCTATTGGCATGGAACGCTTGTTGATAGAAAATGACAGCGCAGATTTCGAGTTTACTGTAATTCAATATAACCATAATATACATGAAAACAAATATTTTTATAGCAGTTCTTGGCATTAATATTGATGATGTCCCACTCACAAATGCAATGCAATAGTATTTTGGCGAGTCTGTAGACAACGAAACCCCCCAAAATAGTTGCCAAATGGGATTACTAAATGCTTGCAAAAATAAACTTTCAAAGAAAACAACATTAGTGACATCACAATTTCTGAGCCAATCACGACACGGGTTCTGAATGTAATAGAAATTCATTGTCCAGACACAAGATATTTGCACTTCCTTCTCTGCTCCTTATTATTTTTTTTTTTTTCTCCTTTTAGGCTCCAGACTTATATTGTTTAACACTCTTCTCCCGGCATAAACTTAAACTTCATTACTCTTTTCTTTTCCCTCTTCCTCCCCAGCATGTAACCAATTTGGCTTTTAGTTTTTTTTCACCCCTGCTCATTCAGCTGTCTATATCCAATATTATGAAGGAACAATTCCAGACTTTGTGCCATTTATAGCATTTATAGTATCTTGTTTCCTTCTCCATTCCTCGCACCACACCCTTGGCCTCCACGCTCCTCCTCATAACTATCTCTCTTTCCCACATGTCCATTAAAACTTACTATCACAGTCTCCTCTTCTGGGAGTTCCCTTAATACTCAAGCTTATCTTAAAGAAAATGTCAGATTCGACAGCAACTGATTGCTGTTTAAAGAACAAAAAAGTTGTCCAGTGTTCAGTGTCAGATCAATGTCGCTTTATGCAGCTGGAAGTACTTATTACCGCAGCGATGTGATATAGATATACCACTGTTACTACGGCTTAAGCAGTCCTGTACTTAGTATGAAAATGTATTAGGTTTAGAATTACATTGAAAAAAATATTAGTGTAGATATATTTGTTCTATCTAATATTTCTCTTAAGTATGTTCATGAGTGTTTCTTCCTGCTGCTATGAAATTATATATATTGCATATATAATACATCAATCTATCTATTGAGCTTTGATTTTCGTAATTCTTTTGATGTTTTAGTTGAGTCGAGTGACTTCAGGAACTTGACAATTTCCGGCGCTCCGAACCCAACACATGGACTCTGCGTCGGGCCAGCGAAGTACGCCTTTACCGCTGCCGGTTCCCAGCTAGTCACTTGCGAGGCGGGATCAGTGTATTCCTCACACATCCTCCGGAATATCGAGGTCATCCTCTCCACTAAATGCTCCTCCGTCCACTGCTCCTCGTCTGTCACCTCCTCCAGCTCCAGGAAGAAGGTATTCTTCAGAAGGAAACCCTTTGGCGAGGGAATCTTGAAGAATCTTCCATGGAAATATTTGAATTGGTTATGGATGTGTCTCGGTGCCCACTTCTCCACTTTCAGAGCACTCAGCACCAGCTTGCAGGCCAGAAATACCCTGCGCTTGTCAGCTGTCAGAGTTTTCATGACTGCATTTTCTGCCAGTGCGAAAGAGAACCTCCATTCATTGTTGCCAATGCTATTCAAATACACAGAGTCAAAGGTGGAGGGCATGAGCTTTGGCCTCCTGAGTGCCGGTGGCCAACTGGCCCTAACAGTGGCCACAACATCAACATCCACCAGGAGGAGAGGGAACACCTTACCTGTCCAGACGAGGCTGAGCGCTACTCCCACCTGAGTCTTCTTCACTCCCGGCAGAACAATGGCTAATCTCCTATTTTTTGGCTTACACTTTACAAGACATCGGCTCAAAATGTAATAGAAGTCTTCAAGAGCACTGAAAACTTCACTGTTTTCTGGTATATCTCTTAATTCTCCATTCCAATTGACAGGGAAAGGTGGTTCCATACTCTGCATGATGATATTAAAGTCAAACTCATCTGGGCAAAACAATCTAACATTGTCTCCAGAACTTCCCAACATGTGCAAATTACCTTTGTATAATGAATTTGCTTCTCCAATTGAAAGTGTCACTTGTCCTATAAAGTCTGTAACAGCTGTTTGAATTTCATGAGCTTCGCCACTTGTAAAATCTACATGGCATTCTTTGACAGCTTGATCTATGCTACATTCCATCCAATTTCTTTTTAGATTTTGTAAATGTTCTTGTATAATTTGAGAGGCAGTGTTATCTCTTTCCATTTTCCTTTTCTGTAGGTCATTTGAGTTTAGTTTATACAGTTTCAGGTACTGGTTGTATCCTTCAAGCATATGTTCAGCAGGAAGCCCATTGTAGTTAACCAAGTCAGTTTTTAAGAAGTCCCCAACCTCCTGGTGCCCGAACATGTACGCGTAGTGGGCGGGTGTGTTGCCGAAGCGGTCCTGTACTCTAGGTGAGGCTCCT